GAAACTGACACGAACTTAGTGCTTTCAACAAATCATCAACAGAACAAGCTTTGCTTATAAAGTATGCATAATTTACTGAAGGGATATAATAGGAATAAGGTAATGGGAGTTTTTTGTGCTGCTCTAAGGGCTGTTGCCGGTCACTGCTGAGGGGAAAGCAGACAGTTAGAATGAATCCCTGCATAAGCTATCTTTGTCATGCTGGTCTGGAAGGCATTGAGTATGGAGACCCTCTCATAGTGAATGGAAAATTTCACTGCCAAGTGAAGCTGATTAAGGATGCTTTACTGCAAATTAGTTCAGACTGAACTTGGAATTTTAGCAGTCAGTTTCACCCTTTGTTGATAGCAATCCCTAGCCTGACACCTACAGAAGATGTATAGACTCTTACCCTACTGTGGCATTAACACAGATAAAACAAACTGATGTGAGAGTAGGGTAGGCGCAGATTTATTTAAGGCTTGTGCTCATGTAGTCAAACTTGGTGCTAGGTCTCTAAATTCTGTACTTACATAAAATAGCCCATTTCTTTGTTTTATAATTGCATCATTCATATAGTAGACAAATGGATATACATAAAAATATAAATAAAAAATCCCACAATTTGTAACACTCAGTCTTCTGTTCCTCTCCTCTTCCTGGATTCAAGATACTACACATTGTGTCATAAATAGACATGACAGTGATATAAATGTGATTATCCATTTTAATCCTGCTGTTTAAAATGGAAATAACACAGAGTTAGCTTGTCACATTAATTCTGAATCTAGACATGTCTTACTCAGACCTATATCCAAAATACATGAGAAAAAAGTGTGACTACCCTTTAACATGAGCATATAGTTCAAACTGCCTTACAGAACTGAGACATCAAGAAAATCTGATAGTGTTTTCTTAGTATAATTTAGGGCCAGAGAATAAGTATGGAATATTATTCAGTGACCTCCCATTTGGGCTGTAGAACTTGCTTACACATTCATTTTACCCAGAGAAGCTTGTCTGATCTTTTTTAATGCACTCTGCTTTCATTATGTCAGCCCCAGTATCTGCAGATGACTCAAGTGAAAAAACTGACATTTGCTTTTTAAACTTTATTCACAAGTGTTTCCTGCCAGACAGAAGTGACTTGTGTGAACTGTTAACATAGTTTGCATATCAGTTGCCTTATTATCACCAAATATTTGTGCTGAGAGAATAGTGGTTGCAATGCTTTTTTTATACACATTTTCAGTAATTCACCATGAGTGGGTATAGGCTTCTCCAAATGCATGTTTATGATCGCACATTAAACAGGTATCAGCCTACACAGTTGGGCAAATAACTCAGTGTGCTATCACAGAAAACAGATGCAATTCTTTTTTTTTTTTTAACTGCACTTGTGCATATACTGAATTTCTTGTTATGTCATTTACTCTACCATATAGTATATTTTGACTTGTTATGGATCTTGTAACATATATAACATTTATACAACATGTTGTAACAGTTACCAGTGCGTAGCAGTGAAACATTCAGAACTATAAGTACTTGAAAACTAGTGAATCATCTTCAATTTCTTATGACTCATAAGCATCCTAGTGGGTTTTGCAAGTTAATGAGTTTTGGATTTGTATAATCATAAGTAAAAATGAAGTTGTTTTCTGTTTATAACCCCAAAACCAACATTTTTTTTTCACCGGGAAACTTGCTGTTATAGAAGACGTTAGTCCTTTCTTTTCAAGTATTTGCTGAAAATTCAGGGTTTAACTGAGCTTTTTTTCCATCAAGAAAAGAGGAACAAAAAATTCAGCAGAGAAATTTGAGGTACTGATGTACTGTCATAGGTTTCCTTAAGAAATCCTCAAAAAGAAATCAAATTTTAATTAGAAATACTGTAGAGCTAAGCAGCTCAACAGACTGGCTGTTACAGCATCTGTGTGTTTAAATGATTCAAAAAACCTTGTTTGGCCTTGATGAAAGATGGTGCTTCCTGAGAGGCTTTTCTTTTTTGTGGATTGGCTCCCAGTTAAACAACTTTGATCTGCCAAAGGGCACTGTAATACTTCTGCATTGCATCCTGACCAGCAAAGGCACAGACCCATGTCCTTCCAAACACACATTCTGCCTTTCATAAGACCACAGCTTTGTAATTTATAACCAGGTAGGGTGTGTGCTTTTGATTGTTGTGCTTGGCTTCTCAAGAGGTTGATTCTGTGTAGCATCCCATTCTGGCAGAGGCTGGTATGCCTCATTCAATTTTGTGCCATAAACAGATGTGTTTTGTTGGGCTGGAACTGGAAACACAAGAGGTAGGTCACAGGTCTGAACAAACTGGAGGTGTTTTCAGCCTTAAAATGGAAGCAGGCTTTTCTCTCCTCATAATTGCACAAGTTAATCTTGTCTAATCGCGAAACCTTCCAAGGCTCTATTTCCTAGATTTATTAGTGTTGTTAGTGTACTTAACTTTGTATCAACTTTGGAAATGATTATAGAATTTCCAGCAATTCTGGTACATCGTAGTGTCCCTCTGGAGAAAGACAGAATTCCTACTTATTTTTCCAGTGAATAAAGTTGGTCCATTCCGTAATTCACAAGAAATGTCACCAAGAATTGTAACTACAGATTCTTTGGGGCAGAAACTGTAGGGAATGCCCAGAAGCTGAAGCATTAAAGTTCCTTATTGCTACTATACTAAATAAATAACAATGATGAATGCTTGGGAAACTTGGCATCAGCTGAGGGAAAAGAATGATTACACATGGATTTGGTTTACTTCTTCCCAAATTGTCTCTGAATAAAAAAGATTTAAAGTGTATTAAAAACTGTCATTCTGTTCTTTATAAATATGGACCCACAGATCTGCTGTAACTGTATCTGTGCTTGGCTGGTCTCAGTGAAAACTGGGAGTGCCTCACCAATCAACCTAGATTTGCCAAATATGTCCACACTACTTATTCTCAGTGTAAACACAAATGTATACATGTCTTTTCAGAAGGCTTAGTCCAAACTGCCCTCCCTTATGAGGATTTGCTTTGCATTGAGCTTTACAACCAAAACCTATCACTTTTTCCTGTGTTTTGTTCTGAGTGAGAGTCATCTATGAACTTTTTCCCCTCTAAGGGGGAAAACCTGTTTTAATACAAAACCCACCAGCTGGCGTTACACCAAGACTGTTTAATCATGACCACCAATCCAGAACTGGAAAAAAATAAGGGAAATTTTCTGGTATGTCAAATTACATCTTTAACATCTATTGCTGAATGTGTAATTCGTATCAAGTTACACGAGAAGCATCTATTGCAGAAGTCTCTGTCTTCTTATGAACCCATCAGATAACTTTTCGTCCCTCAGAGCCATAAGATATGTCTTTTATGTATGTATGGCCACGTGTGTTTGCAAGATGGATTCGTTAATCATAGTGGAAAATACTTGGCATCTTGTAGAGCTTTTGACAGTGCAGCACTTGCAGTTTTGGAGTATTTAGACCTCATGAGCACAATGTGAAATGTTAATAACATCAGTGCGGGTCTATTTTAAACATGGCTCTGAAATAAATTCTATTATGGAAGCTGTGGAGGCTGTGGAAAATGAGTTTATCTCCTCATTTAAAGAAATAAAGAATGCTAAAGCTCACCTCAGAGTTGCTTTCTGCAGCATCACAGCGTGCATCTCTGGTGTGGAAGTCCAGGGTGCAGGACTGGCATGTTTTAAAGCCTGCCTAAAACCATTCTGTTGAACACAGTGTTGTGGGAGAAGTGCTTGTTGCACAAGCAATTTCTTCCCTGGGTGACTTTGTCATTTCCTTTAGTACATGCCTTCTAGACACTCACAGTGGAAAGGTGCGCATGATCACACAGAATTAAGGGCCTTACTCCAGATTTCATTTTGGTTGCTCATTTGATCTTTTGCTCAAAGCATGTGTCAAAAACAGATTTCTGTCTCCAGTAAACAGAAAAACGGCAAACAGTTATGTGACTGTGACTTTGACTTACTTGAACTGGTATATTTCAGGCTTTGTATAATTGTTTTATACTTCTCACATGAAAGCCAACTGTAATTAGTAATTATAGTGGTTATCAACAAGAATAGTACATCAGCTGTTGCAACCTAAAATAGATATTAGCCTAATTTAATGAGTCAAACTAACACAGACTGTTTCATGCTACAGTTTTTCAAGAAAATCTTCATTGTGTTCTTTTCTATAACATAAGTATTCAGATTTTGTGATTGCTTTTAACAAAGTTGATTTAGCTTCAGGTCTTAAATATAAATTCAAAATGTGCATGAGTGCATCAGTATCAGTGTTACAATCACTTATCTGAGCAGTTTTCTGATGGGTGGATTTCTTTTATCTGGATATTCTAATTACATTAAATTAGATATTGATATTAAGAATAGTCAAAATGCAAAAAACAAGGGACTGAAATTTGTTTCAACATTTTGACATTCAAAAAATAAATATTCTAAAAACATTATTATTGACATTTGGTGCAAATTTGTAAGCGATTCAATCAATGTACAATTATTTCTGTGCTGAAAAAAATCAAGCTTCACATAGTTATTTTCATGATAATTATTTTCTACAGCTAATGTACACTGCTTGTTTTATTATTAAATTGCTACGCATGAACCTAAAGGTCCTGGTAACTTTGAAATCTACTACATTAATGGTGCTAATCTTGAATTTACAAGTTGCACACTTTTCCTATCTATATGTTTATATTTGTTCTGTAGTAGGAAATCCAGGCATAAAATGAATACCAAGTACTGCTTTGATCATTTCCTAGTTTTTTTAATGGTCTCAAATAAGGATGCTGTGCTGCCTTTTTTTTTTTTAAGAGATTGAACTGTGTAATCATAACTGTGAACGCAATTATGAACACATGGCAGTCGATAAACATTATAAAACCAGCTCTAATGGTTTTAGTTTTGATGATCACATTTATTAGAAGAACGTGTTACATGGTCTGAGTCCTACAGTGCTTTATCAAGAAAATAAAATGCTACTTTTTGTTTTCCAGGGCTTAGTTATTGAGCGGCTGGGACGCAGGCCTCTTCTCATTGGAGGTTTTGGGTTGATGGTTGTCTTCTTCGCAGTACTTACCGTCTCTCTGACTTTGCAGGTAACACCATGGTTACTCCATATTTTTACTCTCTCTTTTGTATTTTAAACACAATGTGCTTGATACCAGTTTGCCTCAGCATTTCTATATAAGCCAATCCTTTTAATCAGTTTGGCATAAGGATTGAAACGTCTGCCTTTTGCTTATTTATGAATCTGTTGGTTTCAAAGCACTATGGGCAGCCATAGCAGCTTTTACATTAAAAAGCCATAGGAGCTTTGCCACATTCAGTCTCCTGAATGCATAAATCTCAGATTTATGCATTTATATCATGAACTATTACAAAGACAATTTTACCCATAGTTGGGTAAATAGTTTACCCATATTGCATGCTTTTATCTTTATTTGTGATGCAGTCTTCTTGAGATTTCTTTCATACTTTATATGTCACCCTTATTCTTAGGTTTGGATGTTTTTTCCAGTAATAAAAAATGTCCATGTTTACTTCTTCTTTCAAATTACATTTATGATAATTTTTTGAAAATTGAAAGACTTAGACTTCACAGAACATTTGCATTAGGTTCTCAGCTCTTATTAGCAGTAAGTTCCCTAGCTATTTCAAATGGTCAGAGGAGGATTATTAAACCAATCTAAATACTGATGCCAACTCATTTTTTCTTGTTTAGCTTCCATTTCTGTAACAATGCATTTTCTTTCTGTTCCTGAGGGCCTTTGAGAAGTAAAACCGACGTCTGCAATGGCATGGGTTTGAGTGGTCTTTCAAGTTGTTTCTCTGTTGTCGTTGATTCCTGTGTCTTGCTATTAATCTGACTTTAAAATCTTGTTTCGTGGCTAAAGAGAGCCAGTAAGTCAGTTTGACTAGCAGATGTATGCCACACCATTGCAAAGTTTTATTTGACTTACCCGTATGTACCACACAATAAAGCTTTACTTCACATGCCTGTCATGACAGCTATAGGACAGCTCTCCAGAAGAGAGTTGCTATTGAAGGTTTTGTATGCTGAGTAAAAAATTCACTTCCAAGCCTTTTAAAACCCAGTTTAATGTCTGAGGACCTTCAGCAATTGTATATCTCCGAAGTCTGGGTGCATTTCAGTTTTACTTCTTCTCAGAAGTGTCTCAATCTGTTAAGTATTATTGATTTGCTTTGGACAAAGGACCAGGGTACAAATAAGCTTGACCTCAGAGCAATTTGTATCTACTTCATATTTGTTCCTGCTCTCAGTGCCTTTACAGATCTGCATTCTGGTGAAAACTCCAGAATGCGTAATTCTGATATATCTACAAGTCTCTTGGTTAATGTTAATGCCTAGGAGACCATGTCTTTCACATAACTAAAGGAATAATTCAGACTGGAAGAAAAAAAGGCATTGTAAAATGGGGTTTTATTTAGTACTGAAATAAAAACTTGCCTATTTTAGCAAGTATTTTTTCACAGTGCTACTCAAGGTGGTATTTTGTGATACTATATTCATACATATCTTAACTTTGAAAAAAAAACAGTATAATTCTAATAAAAGTGGCATTCACATTTTGCTGATGGAAAAACACACTGATGAAGACAGTAAGGAATAGGAGTTCCTGACTGCTTCCCATATTATTATTATCAAGCATTCACATACATGATTAAGAAATAGTGTCCAGAAAACTCAATGGAAATTGCTTATTGTATTTCAAGTTCCTATCATTTACAGGTCCAAATAAAGAAAAATCTCTTTAAAAGTAGAAAAAAAAAATTGTGAGGAAAAGAGTTGATTCCCTTTTCAGTTCCCTTAAAAAACCATTTACAGTTTGTTCCTTTTTCCCCTGTAGCTGTTGTTTGCACACATGGTCCTCCCTGTCTGCAAAGCCAGATTATGGCTAAAAATCCCTGGACTGTGGCTTTCCATGCTTTGCTAAGATTGCTAAGGTTCGCATACAGCTGTCATGTCTAGACTTCAGCCCAGCTTTTAACTGCTGAACTTTGAAGCTCTATGAGCCATCATAGTTGCTGGTTTCAAGCATGACTGAAATATCCAAGAAGGATGGAGGTGCCAAATCTGTTCAATGGAAAAAAAAACTCTTTTCCAGGTCAACTTGAACTTTAGCATAAGGTGTGAACTTTCAGAGTTGTGACTTCTGTGGTGCAAGAGCTTGCCCAGGGATTTCACAGAGGCCAAGACCTTTAATACAGATCATGTAATAAGGTTCTATAGAAATACTGTGATTTTCTAAAGTGATCCTTGACTAAATTCTGAAATAGATAAAGAGTAGTGGGAAACACTATTATCTGTGATTTTTTTAATACTGGTGACACGTACAATGTACTTAATGTAAATGTCTTGTATCTACCCAGAAAACCGTGTACTGGCTTCCTTACCTCAGTATATTTTGCATCCTTGCAATCATTGCATCATTCTGCATTGGACCAGGTATGTCTACATTTTTTTTCATGGTTTTTTGTACATCAAAGCACAGGTATTTTTGCACTGGCACTATCTTAACAAATCACTTGTAGGGAACATCACTTTACCTGTATCTGAAAACCACAAGGGCTCTAAGACAGTAAAAGGTGATAGTAACCCAAAGTGATAGCAATATTCTTGATAATTGGAACTAGATGATCTTAAGGTCCTTTCCAACCCTAAGTATTCCATGATTCTATAAAGACCCATGTACATGTGTATTCCCACTTATGTGTTAGCATAATTGAGGACTACTGTCTAAATTGCAATCAGTACCAAATTATAATGTTAGCTATTATTGCAGGGTTGCTATTCTTTTTTATATTTATAAAACCCACTCAGACTGGAAGCTAAGTGTTTTATATATCAGTGCTTGTGTTAGCAGTTCAATGCTGGTAGGATAACAATGGAACACTGGTGAAGGGGGAGGAAGGGTAGAGTTTGTGTGTTTTTCCTTTCTTCTCTTCCTTTCCAAAGATACGTGCAAGAGGGTTTGATAGTCTCTTTCGGAAGACGATGGAAAAGGTAGATGTCGTGATGATGAAGATACTGTTTGTCTGCATTTCAGATCTGATGTACACAGATATCTGCTTTTGTAGGTTGTACTGAGTTTACCAGGACCATTTTCCCAACCTAGTTTTGGTTACTTAGAGATGGATACAGCTTTATAGACAATCCAGGATTCAAAGGTTGTAATTTTTATATTTAATTTTCTATAACAAGGAACATCTTTAGTGTATAAATAAGAAATAAATCCAAAACTTTCTTAGAAGTGTAGGAGAGCAACAGTGAAGTTTCAGCAAGGGTAATTATGACTGGATAGAAGAGGAAAAATTTTATACTTAGAGTGGTTAAGCATTTGAAGACTTAGCTTAAAGAGGTCGCGAAATGTCCATCCTTGGAGCTATTAAAAACTCAGCTGGACAAGTTCATGAGCAACAGGCTCTGCCTTGAACAGAGGCTGAATTCCAGAAATCACTTACAACCTAAATTTATCCTGTGATTCTAATTGCATCATATCTTTGGAAAATGCACATTAATAGATATGCAAATATTTGCCTGAGTGTTTCTCTAAATAGTATTGTTCTGGCCTTCAGGTACTTGATCAGAATTGGATCCTACAGTTATCAAATAATGAAATGTTAACAAAAAATATTTGCAGGTAGATAAAGAGGGATTTAATCCAAATTCAATTCTCCTACAGAATAAGATGTCAAAACAGCACTTAAATTTTCAAATACTCTCTTCCAAACTGTTTTCCACAAAAAGGGGAAAAATCAGCTGCTTTCAGCGAGTTTTTTCACAGTTGTTTAGCTGTAAACCTGAAAGTAAGGCTTCTGTAGGCTTCTATTCCCTTGAGTTTTCAGTTTCTTCATGCACCATTTATTGCCCCTTTTTCTTTGTGAAGAGTGACATTAAACATGAATCAACTGTTGTATATCTTCACCACTAAAGTGATCTAATTAATTGATTGTGGTTTATTTTGGGAAAGAGTTGCTGATGCTTTGACTAATGAAACATTGCTGTAATTCCATGGATCCTCTTTCGGAAAAGCTGAGGAAAGTTTATGCTGTTTTAGAGGAAAATGGGGAGAAAAGCAGAATAAACTTTTTTTCCACCTGCTTCTGGGAAAATAGTTTGTCGCTAATCTCTGTGCTTATTCCCTTTGCATATGGTAGCTGACTGAAGAATAGATCCGCCAAGCAGGCTTCACTAGGGGCATTAACACACCTAATATTGGACAGTAGGTGGCCTATGAAGACTGTTTTTCCTCACCTCCAGCTCTTCTTGCAAGGCAAATACTGCAGAAGATCTTGCAATTCCTTTGTCCTCCTGTAAGGACAACTCTCAGGTTAACCAAGTCCTTAGAATTGCTGACATATGTTTGTTAGACTTTTTTGAAAGAAGAATTCTGTGGAATAGAACTGCTCTTGCATTTGAATGCCTAAGAAAAATGAACTTCTGTTCACTTCTTGAAAACTTCCCTCCCAGTGTTTTAAGTAGCTCAGACAGTTTAAGTGCACCTACTTGCAATATCTTCCCTCAACTGAGTAAAAATACTCAGTTAAATTGTATTTTTTTCCATATTAAAGACATGTTCCAACGATTTTTAGAACTACAGATCAACATGTTCTTACATGTTATATTTTCAGCATATTAAGAGTAACCCTTCATATTTCTCCTTCACCTCACCATCCTTCAGAATGGATTCTGAGTTTCTTCATTTAGCTTCTTTCCCTTTATAGATGCTATTCAGGATTTTGCATTGTACTTTGAACTCTCTTTGGAGCAAAGTGTTGCAGATGTATGCAAGCTTTTGCTTGATATTACTTACATGCTTCCCACAGAAATTCTTTAAAATGAAAGCTTATTTTATGTTTTTCACCATATTCATTAGTTTTAAAGCCAAAAGACATCAATACTGTACCAGTAGCTACCTAGTTGGCCTCTCACCCTTTTCTGTGTACATTCAAACATTTTAAATACCTGACTGTAATGGGAATATCTCAGTAGCACTGAACAGTGATTTTCTTTGTGTGAAAATTTTGATAATTGACACTTCAGCTGTTGAGAAGAAGTTGTGAAGAATCATAAAAAACATAAGAAACATAAAAAGGACATGGAACTGTTGGAACAAGTCCAGAGGAGGGCCAAGAGGATGATTAGAGGACTGGAGCACCTCCTGTATGAAGATAGGCTGAGAAAGTTGGGGCTGTTCAGCCTGGAGAAGAGAAGGCTGTGTGGAGACCTCATAGCAGCCTTCCAGTATCTGAAGGGGGCCTATAGGGATGCTGGGGAGGGACTGTTCATTAGGGACTGTAGTGATAGGACAAGGGGTAATGGGTTAAAACTTAAACAGGGGAAGTTTAGATTGGATATATGGAGGAAGTTCTTTCCTGTTAGTGTGGTGAGGCACTGGAATGGGTTGCCCAGGGAGGTTGTGAATGCTCCATCCCTGGCTATGTTCGAGGCTAGGTTGGACAGAGCCTTGGGTGACATGGTTTAGTGTGAGGTATCCCTGCCTGTGGCAGGGGGGTTGGAACTAAGGTCCTTTTCAACCCTTAAGTTCCTCTTAAGGTCCCTTAAGGTCCTCTTAAGGTCCTTTCCAACCCTAACTATTCTATGGTTCTATGGCTCCATGATTCTACATTTTGATTCCTCTGTAAATTAATAGCAAGATTTTAGCTTACTTTAATAGGAACAGATTTACCTTCAGTGAAACTCCTCTGTTCTGTTTAGTGGGGTGTAGGAGATTTGAACTACTTTCCTACCCCTTAGCTGGGAGCTAAGAGGTTTCTCTTTCAAAAACAGCTTTCATAACTTTCTGGTCAGTAAAAGGGCTTTTCCAAAACAAAATTACTGCATATTTCTATTATTAATTTTCTTATTTTTAAAAGTTTTTAACCTTTTGTAGACATCATGAGTGTCATCTGTTTGTATTGGTTAAACAGGTAATATTGTCATGGTATTATAAGCATTCAGTATCTTATTAGATTCCTCCTGTAGTTATTTAGAGCATTTTAGCATTCTTCAGAGTAAATCCCACAAGGTTTGTAATGATTCTGTTGATACAGATCTTAACATTGGTTGAAATAGTTTGTGTTTACTGAGCTATTGGTGCTTGTAAGAATTATCCCATCTAAAAGCAGTAAATAGCATAAAGAATTAAGGTTGTAAAAATACTGCTATAACTTTCTAGAACATAAAATTGCCTTTAAAAATACAGTATTTTCCCTCTCATCAGAACATCTGATTCTTTCTTTATAGCTTAGATGTTGTGTGGTATCCCACTTTCTGATAGCATATGCATGAGTCCCATCTGCTTCCTCTACAGCTAGGATCAGCTGTTACTATAAACTGTGGGGGGGTTTATTTGTTTCATTTTTCTGAACTTGGCTTTTCAGCTTGCAGATGTGTTTCTAGGCATATTGCTAAAGACTGAAACAGTAATATTAACAACAGGTAGATTCTGGCATGTGTTTGATTTGGTACTTGTATCATTTCTATCAAAAGACAAACAACAGAAAGCTTTCATTTACTAAAAATTAAAGGAACCCTTATGATCAAGATAGTCAATCCATGATCTGACAGAGAAGTACCCTTCAAAAATAGCTTATTGTTTTATATATTAGGAAGCCATACTGTTCCAGACAGTTGCTTCATTGTGCTTGTTTGGTTATTTATACACAAATGAAGGTGTTTGGTTGCAGAGAAACATGCTGCTTTCCAGTATTGTGATTCTGGAACATGTTAGTAAACAGTTTCACAGTTTTCTCTTCAAGCAGAAGGTAGAAGCTTAATGGAAATGTTTTTCTTGGTCACAGATTTGACATGAAATAGGCATAGGATACATTTCAGCTGAAGAATTGTCATACATCAAAGAGCAAATAGAAAGGACTGAGGGGATTGGTTCTGGCTCCTAAGGAAGCAACAAGCAAAAACTCAAAAATCAATAGAGGAAACAAATAAAAGGAAAATAGTAAGAGAACATTATCAGTATCTCCACAAAGCAATTTTGCTCTTAATATTAGGTGTCATGAGCAAATGCATTGATTTAGAATGCTTTTACTGAGTGGGCAAATAATATGCAGCTCCTTGGGAATTTGGGTAGTGATAGATTGGCTGAGGTACATGCAAAATGTCTTCCTTCTTTAACTTTGTCTTAGATATTATTTAAGGAAAAAAAGGGAAGCTAAAAGCAGTTATCCCTACTTTTGTGCCGGTTAAAGCTCTGTGGCTGCCTGTTCATGGGCACTGAACACAGGCATGTTGACCTTTGCTTGCAGAATGGATTTCTCTTTCTGGAAAACCACACTAAAATCTGACTTAAACAGCTACAGAGCTGGTTCTGCTTATTTTCATCTGTTTACTTAAACTCCCGGTTCCCTCACTGTGACTTCGCAACAGCTGCTGCACAAACAAGTTATTTTTGATTTTGCTGGGTAAATTGAAAAATATCTGTACGT